CTGCCTCTACCCATGCTATAGCATTCTGCCTGTTCAGACAGATGAATGTCTGCAGAGATGGCCACTTCCACCATGGGTCACAAACTAGTTGCTGCTTTTGGTTGGGTCTGCTCCTCTCTGGATGTATGCTGTTTGCCTGTAGGATTTCTGTTTGTTTGACCTGGATTTTGGAAACCTTTTTCAAAAGTAGGCATATGTGATACAAAATTCAAAAGGCAGAAGAAGATATGTCTTCTCATCCTTGTGTCTCATTTCCTTTTTTTCTTCTCTTCAATCAATAATTTCTATCAAATTTTTGTATATCCTTCCAAACTAGTCTAACATAAAAAAACAAATGAATTTGTATGTTTTTCTTCACAAGTGGAAGTATAGTATAGACTGTTGCCCTTCTTATTTTCATTTCATAAAATTGAGCATATCATTTTCTTTAATGGCTGTAGTGTCTTCCCTAATATAGCTGTTCATCTTCAATTCATCTTCAGTGCTCTATTCATGAATATTTAATTATTTAGTATTTTGCTCTGGCAAATAATACTGACACAAACATCATATATATAAGTCTTTGTATACATATATGGGTATATATGTAGGAAAAAGTTTTATGAGTAAAATTTTTGCTGGGTCAAAGTATATGTGCATTTTCTTTTTTTTTTTTTTTTTGTCCTTTTTGAGACCGGCCACACCGCACTCAGCCAGTGAGCGCTGTGAGCGCATCGGTCATCCCTACATAGGATCGGAACCCGCGGTGGGAGTGCTGCTGCGCTCCCAGCACCGCACTCTCCCGAGTGCGCCACGGGCTTGGCCCATATGTGCATTTTCAATGTTTATATTGCCTAATTGCCCTCCAATTGTACAAATTCATATTCTGAAAAATGAATGTCTCTTCCATGTTGATGAACACTTGGGTGGTTTCTCCTTTTCAGCTGTCATGAATAATGCTCCAATGAATATTGGTGTACAAAAATCTGTTTGAGTTCCTGTTTTCAATTCTTTTGGGTATGCCACAGTTTTGTTTTTCATTTTTTGTGTTTTTTTGCTTAAATCTTTAATTTATCTAGAATTTGGTAGTTTAAAAACACTTTTATGAGGTTATAACTGACATACAATAAACTACACATTTAAAGTGAATCACTTGATAATTTTCATATATGCATACATCTGTGAAACCATGATTATAATCTTGATAAGGAACAATCCATCAACCCCCCATTTTTTTTATGACCCTTTCTAATCCTTCTCTCCTACCCCTTTTCTCTCCTCTCCCCCAAGAAACAACTGATTAGTTTGCATTTTCTAGAGCTTTATGTAAATGTCATCATGCAGTATGTACCCATTTATGTCTGGCTTCCTTCCCTCAGTTCAGTGATTTGAATATATCTGTATTGTTGTGTATGTCATTAGTTCATTCCTTTTTACTGCAGAATACACATATATTACAATTTGTTTATCCATTCACTGGTTAACGGACATTTGTGTTATCAGGTTTTGGCTACTAGAAATAATGCTGCTATGAACATACATGTACCAGCATTCATATGGACATATATTTCCTTTTCTCTTGGGTAAATTCCCAGTAGTGGAATGAGTGGATCATATAATGGGTGTATGCTATGGTTCGAATGTAGGTGTCCCTCCAAAATTTATATATTGAAACCTAATTATCAAGGTTATAGTATCAGACGGTGCAGTATTTTGGGAGGTATTAGGTCAAGAGGGCTCTGCCCTCATGAATGGGATTAATGACCTCATAAAAGAGGTGTGAAGGAGCTGTTTGACCCTTCCATCATATAAGGACATGACATTTATCCCCTCCACATGCTGAAGCAACATGATGCCACCTTGGAAGCAGAGACCGAGCCCTCAACAGACATCAAACCTGCTGGCGTCTTGACCCTGGACTTCCAGCCTCTAAAACTGTGAGAAAGATAAGAATGTTTTTTCCATTTCAGTGAAGAATGTCACTGGTATTTTGATGGGGATTGCGTTGAATCTGTAGATCACTGTGGATAGTATAGACATTTTCACACTGTTAATTCTTCCAATTCAAGAACATGGAATATCTTTCCATCTTTTTGTGTCTTTAATTTCTTTCAGAAGTGGTTTATAGTTCTCATTGTAGAGATCTTTCACCTCCTTGATTAAATTGATCCCTAGGTATTTTTTTTTTCGTGACAATTGTAAATGGGTTTACTTTCTTTATTTCTCTGTTAGTTCATTATTTGAGTATATAAATGCAACTGATTTGGGGGCATTTATTTTGTATCCTGCAACATTACTGAAGTTATTAACGAGCTCTAGGAGTTTTTTGATAGAGTCTTTAGGTTTTTCTGTATAGAGTATCATGTCATCTGCAAATAGAGACAGTTTGACTTTGTCTTTTTCAATCTGAATTCCCTTTATTTCTTTCTCTTGCCTGATTGCTCTGGCTAGTACCTCCAGTACTATGTTAAATAGAAGTGGTAAGAGTGGGCATCCTTGTCTTGTTCCTGTTATTAAGTGAAAAGCCCTCAGTTTTTCCCCATTCAGAATGATACTGGCAGTGGGCCTGTCATAGACGGCTTTTATAATGTTGAGATACTTTCCTTCTATACCTAATTTGCTGAGAGTCTTTATCATGAAGGGATGTTGAATTTTGTCCAGTGCTTTTTCAGCATCTATTGAGATAATCATATGGTCTTTTGTCCTTGAGTTTGTTGGCATGGTTTATCACATATTGACTTTCATATGTTGAACCATCCTTATATCTGTGGGATGAATCCCACTTGATCATGGTCTATAATTTTTTTAATGTGTTGCTGTATTCTTTTTTTTTTTTTTTTTATGATCAAGTCAGATTTATTCTAGGCATGCAAAGCTGGTACACATTTTTTTTT